TCTTCATAGCCGCAACACTTCAAATTTAGTTTACTCAGAAATCCGCATAATAAAAAACAGTTTAATTTACGTCATTCGACTCGCCAAGACATGCTCTTTTTAATGGTATAAATAGCAAAGCGTGGTTTGCTCAAGTTATACGTACAATGTAAGAATTATCCATTAAAGCGTATAAAAATAGATATTTTTTAAGCCACACATGCACAAACAATATCTTAATAACTGCCATTAAAATTTATATCATTTTGAAGCGAATTGATTGTACTTTAAGCTATATCAAACCAATAAATTTTAGCTGCCATTCTCGTGAAGTTAGAGCATCATAAACCCCTGACAAAAATTCTCGTCCAATTCGATGTCGATCACCTGATCATGCTTGCATCGACATTTTTTTCAACAAGTATAGCTCCCTCAGTTTCCGTGCAAATAACTTAAAATTTTTTTTCTTTTGTAGCGCTGAACCTAAACTTTCAGAAAAAATTTTAAATCAATTAAAAACATTACCTCGAAATGCCACGAGCTACAGAATTGACTGACTTTGAGCGTGGGATTATTGTTGGTCTACACTTGGGGGGAAAACACACACATCAGGAGATAGCTGCTATAGTCAGACGTTCGAAAGGAGCTGTTCAAGGTGTAATTGAACGATATGTAGATGGTGGGTTCACTACGGCCACACAACAGTCTGGTAGGTCATCCAAACTGAGTAAAAGAGATGAGCGACAATTAGTAAGGGAAGTCAAGAAAGATAGAAGTATTACGCTTGAGCCGTTAACAGAGGCATTCAACAAGTCTCTTACTATTTCAGTAAGTTCAAGAACTGTACAGCGTACTCTGCATAATTATGGATTTTATAGTAGAGTTGCAAAAAAAAAGCCATTGGTAACTGAGAAAAATAAGAAAATACGTTTAGAGTGGTGTAAGAGGATGAAGAATTGGAAGGAGGAATGGGATAAAGTAATTTTCAGCGATGAGTCAAGATATCTAATATTTAAAAATGATGCTCATAAGCTTGTCTGGAGGAGGTGTGATGAAAAATATAAGCAGGACTGCTTAGCACCAACTGTAAAGAACTCAGATGGGGTAATGGTGTGGGGATGCTTCTGTAAAGACAGGATGGGGCCGCTGATTTTAGTGGACGGGAATATTAACGCTGCCAAGTACATACAAATATTGGACGAACATTTATTGCCATATCTACAAGAGCTTGGCATAGAAAACTATATTTT